TGTTTTGTGTTCCCTCACAGAGAGCTTTGCAGGCTCGCTGTCAGCAAAAGGTGTGCTTGCTGCTGCCTCCTAAATGTAATGTCTTCTGTGACTATACTGAAGTTGTCGTGGTCTGGTCTGCACTTGCCTTTGCCCTTATGAGTGGTGAAGAGATGTAAAACGAAGCAGGCAGTTTCAGAAAACTATGTTATCTTATGCAATATCTAGAAAAATGTTGGTATCTTCATCTCACATTTGGAGAACAGCTGCAACCAAATAGTGCCAGAAATTTCTGGTCAAATGATATCTCAAAATTTAATCAGATTAGCTGCACAATCAAGAGAGCTGGGGGGAAATTTATGTCTGTCTTTGTTACAGAAGGGACTAGGATGAAGGGGTTTTGGCAGTCAGCAGTGCTAGGTGTATTACAGATGCATTTCTGAGCCCCCGGCAACACATAATGTATGGCTTCCATCTCATAAAGCCCTATGGATTGGAAGCTCCCAGAAGACCTGGTGTGTTTGGTACTATAGTTAGACAAGTATTATTGGACATGTAACTGTCACCAGCAACCCAAAATCTCTGTCCTTTTTTTGGCTTGTTTTAGTCAAACCCGTCTCTTTCATTTTATGCTGGTAAGTTTACTTTGATTAATTGCAAGTATAGTAACGTCTGCTAGTAATTAAAGCTGGCTAAACTGGTGCATCTGAAATGATCACGCAGCAGGCTAGCAGATCATTCTGGAGGATGCAGTGTCCTGCAGTCCCACGAAGGACCTGAGACTTCCTGATCTTACACCATTAAAAAAAGAAACCTAAAATTAGTCATTGTTCATGCCTTTAGGTAGGTGATAACGTTTCTTGAAATTCGCTATGGACATAAGCTTTATCGCTGTGAAATCTCTGAGAAGGACGTTCTGTTCCCCTGGCAGCAGACATGGGATCATCTCTTGAAACTGCCGACACCAACCTTGGCACGGGCTGCAGAATTTCACATACTGTAACCCAGATGAATTACCGTGTGCTTGAGCTTTGTTATAACATGGGAACAGAACTGAGTCACTTGGGAAGAGACGTTTGCCATGGCCAGGTTTTTCCACATCCTTGCGCGAAGCACTCCTACCTCTCCCTGAGCACCAGCAGCACGCGTGGTGTGTGCCGAGGTGTGGGTGGCTGCCTGCCGGCAGGCTGCCTGCCCAGCCAGGTCGGCGTGCACCTCGTGCATGGCCATTGCGGCGAGAGCGCCAGCGTGCCTGGCATGCCTGAACTCCTAGGCAAGCTCCGCGCGGAGAGCACGCGTCTCGTCCGTCGGTGCGCTTCGCTCGTGTTGGGGAAGGCAGCGACACGCCTGCTTTTCAGCAAGCCGCTTCCAAGGTGTTCGGGAAACGTCAGTATCACTCCGAGGAATATTCTTAGTCGTTTCTGACTCCCAGCTGCTCCTAATAGCTCCTGCAAGTTATGCAAACATTTGCACAGCAAGTTCGCAGGCTCTTTTCCTCCTGTGCCCCTTGGATTGTACTGTAGCATGTTTATGGCAACTGGTTCTGGTTTTGAGGTGTCTGAGCATAGGTAATTAAGTCCATAAATCCGTGGAGCATATGTGTTAATGGTGTTAATGAAAGCTTTTCTCTTCACAGGTTTTGCTGTGGTATATTTTGTCATTATGAGATGTCGTCTACCAGTGCTTCATTTGTGCAAATTAGATTTGATGACTTGCAGTTTTTTGAGAACTGCGGTGGAGGGAGTTTCGGGAGCGTCTACCGAGCCCGATGGATTTCTCAGGACAAGGAGGTGGCTGTAAAGAAGCTGCTCAAAATAGAAAAAGAGGTAAGAGTTCACTTTTCTTTCACTTTGTCTGCTAGGGAAACAAGAACAGAAATTCTTTTTCTAGTGTCTTCCATCCTCTAGCTAATTGAGGCAAACTAACTTGGGCTTTTTGTTTGTTTAATTACAAACCCCCATAACTGGATAATGTTACAACAAAGGCGTACTGAGGGGGCCCCAGCCGAGGGTGTCTCTGATTTAAAGCGTTGCTGTTTTACTGTTTACTGTCTTCCCCCACTTTTCTTGTTTAGCAGCTCCTCTCTGCCCTGGCACTGAGGAGGAGGAGAGCTAGCTGCACCTGTGGAGTTAGTAGTTTCCCTTTGAAACCACTGGGCATGTTGCTAGATAGGAAGAGGTAGTGCTCACTGTCTTCACCTACTTCTGTTTTCTCTTTACATCTAGTCTTCTGCTTGCTGTGGTTCACATCTGTATGTTCACTATAGGCTTAGAATGTATTGCTCGGTGTTGTCTTTTCCCTGCCTGCTTGCAGGTTTTGATCTGGGGCTCCACTAGCTCTGAGTTAGTCATAGCTGCACTTTGGCTTGGTCTCATCTTGCAGTGAGGTTTAAACCTAACTGTTCTACCAGTCACCTTTCCTCACGGCGTCCTGTGCACCTGGACAGGCAGACAGGTACTTGGCAACCCTGTGGGAAGAGGCAGAATTAACTTACTGCACCTTTGCCAGCTAAGGTTGGTTTGAGGTTTCATTTTTTAAAAAAGATTTTTAGGTTTACCTAAAAATCCTCTTGACCCTCAGGTTTGTTGGGGCTGTACAGAGACACTGTGTATGTGATCCTCACAGCGCTCCAGTCTGCCTGCTGGTCAGCACCGCTGATGCAGATGTGAGGACACACCAGTGTAGTGATGGACAGCGCAGTTATGGACCGCTGTTCCAGCATGACTATATCTCACTTGTATACAATATCCTCAGAGTATTTTAGGAAGGCAGTTATAAGCTGGAGGACAGCAGAGCAGTGCTAAGGATAATAGGCTTAGTAAATAATCAGACACCAAAGTTCATTCACTGCTGCAGCAACCGAGTTAAGTGAGATTATGTCATGGTTAGTGATGTGATAAGCATGTTTGATTGTGATTAAGCAGGTTGCTGTCTAAAATAATGTGGAAGGATCTCATGATTTTTCCAGGATGGTGGGAGATGTACATCTTCTGTCCAATATCAGTTTGTACTGTTCTCTTTATTTTTACTATTTGTTAATATCAGGAGATACACAAAAACAAGTAAAATGAGTGCTATGCGGTATCAGTAATGCACTCCTTAAATCTCAGTAGTGGTCAGTGAAGTATCTGTATTGAATAAGTGTGTTTCTGGTGGGATTACACAGGCGTCTGTGCTAGACCTGTTGCTAGGTAATTAAAGCATTTTTGAAAGAAAATTTAAAACCACTATTACTACATTCTTGTGATGGCGCAAACCTTAGTGGAATGGGAAGTGATGGAGTTAAGTGGGACAGTTATATGTGTTGCTTGACACAGTTGGACCATTCAGCAAAAATACCTTTTGAAAACATCCAGATATATTCAAATACATACAGGTTGCATACTAGGAAAAGGAAACCATATGCTGGAATGAATTTAGTATAATTTAAGAGTTCATTTAGGGATTAATGAAGACTTGAGACTCGTTAAGAGCTCATATCATGGTACTGTTAGGCAAATTAGGTTAATGCCCTTGCATATCCAAATGAGGATCAAGTAATTTGTAAGAACTGGGTGTCCTTTGTCTTGGTATGTGACACTGGGAAAATGGGTGTTAGGCACTAGGTGCAGACCCAGTTCTGTTGTGTTTAAAAGAATGTAAATGAACTGGAGGGGCAGCCCAGGGGGATTGCAAAACACACCCAAAGAGTGGAAAGTAGAGCGGCTGTGTGTTTCAGAAAGTGGTGAGGGACATCATCCACCAGGATGAGTTGACAGAAGCGAAGCAAGTACTTTCCAGCAGAAAAATTTTATTTTCCTTCAGATTGGTCATCATTTGCAGCTTAAACTAACAAGATGGTTATAGTTTGGAGCAGCTTAGCATGGGCACCTTCTCTTGAAGGTTTTCTGGGGAGGCAGCAGAGAGGCAAGTGGTGATGCTTTAAATAAGTCTAGCAAGTTTTGCCAGAACTCGTCTGTCAAAAACCCTAGAAAATTAAAAAATAAAGAGCCTGTTTACAAAAACTGCATTTTCATATGGAGAAAATGCTGGGCTCGTTTAGTCTAGTGCAAAAAGTTACTACAAGAACTAATGGTTGGGATCTGAAGCCAGACAAATTAGGATGGGAAATAAAGCACAAATTAAAAGGAGTGAGGATGAGTAATGCTTGGAGCAGACTACAGACGGAAGGAGCGAAGATGGAGAATCCTTTCCATCTCTTCATGTCTTCATGTTGAGATGTCTTTTTGGACAATAGTTTTTGTCAAGTTGTTGAGCTCAACACAAGAGCAGCTTGCTGAAGTTCAGTTGCCCATGATGTACTGGAGACCAACCATGGTGGCCTAAAATCTCTTCTGACCCTAATAGCTGTCAGTCTGTTTACATATGCAGTGTGTTTATCTGTAGTGATGACGATAATGAACATTTGTGACTGAACTGTGCTGAAAGTCATGGTGAGTCAATAGCTTTTCTGATAGCAATAGAAGAATAACTTGCCATAACTGTATGCATCTGTGTGTAGTAGATATTTGGATGGATTGTATTTAGTCCAGGAAACTAATTATTACTCTTTCTGGTTTATTTGAAAGGAAATGTCCTTTTAACTCCATGACTGATTGTCTTGCATTTCTGTTAACTGCTGCCAATAATCCCTAACAACTGATTAAAGGGAAAACAGAGGAGAGTTGGGAAAAGCTTGCTCAGAGGAATTTCATGCTAGCCGTGTCCAAGGGCACAAGCCAAGTCAATAGAACTGTGGTATCATTCTGCAAATATGTTGTATCTGTGTTTCATTTTATTAAACAAGCCAATCAAAACCAGCAAAGATGTTGAAGGCTTTCTATTAGCCAAGTGGCTAACAAGTTGAAACGTGAAACAAGGCAATTTTTGTTCCAGTGTATAGCAGCATATCATACTAAAATATGTGCGCAGAAAAAATTGTAAATACTTGGAAGAGTGTTGCTCAGACAGATTTCTTCAAAACTTCAAAAATCTGAGAAATGGGAAGACCTCTGCAAGGCATTAAGTTTTTATAGACAGGCAGTAAAATGTGACTGTATGGGAAGAGTTTATGTGAATAAAATACAGCTAAATACAGCCAAATAGGTGTGCTGAGAAAAATAATTGTGCTGCAAGGCCTTGATTAGAGTATCACATCTGAAACTCTGGACAAGGCTTCTGCCGATTAAGTAAACCATAGGAGTGTTTATGAGTGATTAAATAACAGCAAAAACAAAGTTGAATTGCTCTTTTACTATCTAGTCCAAGCACTTTAGCAGTCTTAGGTTTTAAGCAAGGAACAGGAGTTCCTTGTGAATTGTTTTATGGAGAATCAAAGTATCGGCATGATGTTTGTGATGCATGTGGGGGGAGTAGAAATGCCTTCTGTAGTAGAATGTGCAATTGCTCCTTTTGCCCTAAGTAGTAATTATGTGCAGTCATTGAAGAAAATCACACACCTACTACTCAGGAAGTTATTTAGTGTTTTTGTGAACAATTTATATGAATTATTGAATAAGCCCATAATTTGGCTCCCACTGAAATGAATGGGAGAGATTTGGCCCAAAGGCCTTATTCTGCAAATTGCTAGCAGTTTTCTTTTGACTCCATTATCTTGAGTAGATAACCGCTGGAGTGAAATGTTACAAATGTTGTTTTATGCCTTGCCATGTTAGCTTTTCACTGAATAGCACTCACCTCCTTTGATTTTCTGTATGTCTCTGAAGTTCACCTGTTATTTGTCACTGCTTTTGAAGGCTGTACTTTTGGTGGCTGATTTTTGGCAGCTGACATCTGATCTGGAGTGTGGTTCTTCACCGGGAGATTTATTACTGCTGGAATTTTATTTGAAATTTGAATTTAATTTCAATGTCACTGCTCCTTGGAAGTACTCTGTGATCCATGAACTGTCTCCATGCTATTGATGGACAGCAGTATTGCATCTGATTTGCTTGCTTCAGCTGTTACAACTGTGGTACTTAGGTACAAGATTGTTTGGTTTCATGCAGTACAGCTGTTCCTGGATTCCTTCAAAATGCTGGTGGTGGTCTGTGCAAACTGCAGGAGAGTGGTGGAAAAAATACCAGTAAAATGTAACTGTAATCTTTTGGGAAGTACTTCTGGTAAACTAACAGAACTAACCTGTAGATAAAAGATATTAAATTGAGTAGGCTTAACTGTGCGTGCTTTGTTCAGTCATGTCTGTGCAATGCATTTGAGTTTTATGAGACTCAAAAATAAAAACATGTTTTTACTAGTTTTGATGGTGTATCGCTAGAAGTCTGACTGCCATGGAAATTAATTTTATATTGTCAGGTTTTTCTTGTATTTAATACATGTGCAGTAAGCCTTAGGGCATCTTTTAATGCTTCATAAAACTTTTCATATGGAATATAATGCAGCTTATTCACTTTTTTCATTTTGTGATCCACTTCTGGAAGGGACTGTCCAGAAAACATGGATTGTGCCTGTACCATCCGAAGGGGATGGGTTAACTATAACCACATGCATGTCGCTGGACTTACCTCATTCATGTTTGTAGTCTTAAAAGAGAGCATGTGGTAATATTAATGTGGGTCATGAGAGTAAGGACTGGGAATGACTTTCAAGAGTAACAAGAGGAAAAACAGCAGAGTAAAATAGAGCAAAACAAACCAAACCAAACTGAAGTTGATACTTATCCCTGACAGGACTAAAAATAGTAGATGTTGGTTTTGCTTGTGATTTATAGCTGGTATGGGTGCTTGGGTGCCAGCCTTGAATGACTCTTCGCACTGGGACCTGGCTGTAACAAAAGGCAATCTTCATGCTTTTTTATTATTTTATTAGCGCTCTCTAGGAGCTCCTA